GTACTTTGAACAATATACAGTTTGAAGTGTTTTTTTTTTAAAATTGGTGAATTTTGTGTATACATTCATGCACTAGACACATGAGTCAGAATGCATTATATTTTTAAAATCATTTAAAAATAATTATATTACATAATTTTATATAATTATACTATTCAACCGCTACAATGCTACCAATCAAATTTATATTTGAATTGTCTCTATTATCCAACCACCTTCTCTAACCACTGTTTCTAACCGCTTTATTTTAAACGACCCTCTGCTAAACCACTCAAAAACTTTCAACAATTCGGTTCAAACGTGATCACCAATCGAACCCAATTGTATATAGTGTAGCCAATAGTATTATGCATTTTTTTTGGCTAAGTTGTTTTTAATTAATATATTTTTTATATATATTTTTTTTAAGTTTTTTTAAAAATTTCTTTTATTTTGGTAAAACATCTTATATAAAAAAACTAATATTTTTTTTTAAAAAAAAATCTCCAAATCAAATAGAGGAACAAAAAATTAAATGGAAAGGCATCAGTAAAAGGAGATACTGAGCGAATAAAAACATATTCTTTGAGCATCATTTTCCCAAATGCCAAAGCTTCTCCCTTTTTAGGGGAGACGAAGCCCTAATTCCCAAATCCACGACCAAATGAAGCGTATTGTGAGGATTTCATTCACCGACGCAGAAGCCACCGATTCTTCCAGCGACGAAGAGCGTGGTGAAGCAACCCAGACTCGCCGCCGTGGGAAACGTCTCGTCAGAGAGATCGTAATCGACCCTCCCGATTCCGCCCATGCCTGCAAGACGCGGTTCAAAATCAGGATTCCGGCGGAGTTTCTCAAGGCGGCGACGGCGACGACTGGGAAGAAAAAATTCCGTGGAGTGAGGCAGAGACCGTGGGGGAAATGGGCGGCTGAGATCAGATGCGGTCGAGCTTTCAAAGGACGTCGTCTGTGGCTTGGAACTTTCAACACCGCCGAAGAAGCAGCGATTGCTTACGACAACGCCGCCATTCAGCTGATTGGACCTCATGCACCTACCAATTTCGGTTTCCCGGCGGAGAATCAAGAGGTTAAGACGGTGGCCGGTGAATCAGCCGTTGCTCGAGGCGCGTGAAGTGGTTCTTCAGTTCGAAGCAGCGAAGAAGAAGGTCTCTTGTATGTCTGTTTAGTTTTAGTTTCGTTTGTGTGTAAATTCATCATCTTCCTCTTTTAATCGCTGCTAGTCGTCGTCTCTGTATATATTTTGGGACATGGACGAAATTGAAAAACCCTGAAATTGTGGTGTTTTTGAATTGAGTTTGAAATTTCAAATTTCAAATTTCAAAATTGGGTTCTTAACCATGAGATTTCGAAATCATGTCCAAATCTTAGTTCTTAACCAAACCAATCATAGCAGATCTATTTGAATGTCTCTATCCTTACCGTTTTATGTAGCTTACTAGAACCGAATTAGCTAAAACGGATACCAAAAGAAGAGAGGTTAGTCAAAGTCGTCATGTACCTTAACTTCCACAAAATTTGTAATATGTAGATACTCTTAAATGTATCTATATTTTCGGATATCGAATCTACAGAGAA